GCCTCACGTGTATGTGTAAACATGCGTGTGTGTGTGTGTAGATATTGTATGCGTGTACTTGTATCTGCTATCAGAATGTAATTCCTTAAGAGTAGCAATTCAGTTTTACTCATCTTTCCGTCTTTAGCAATAATCCCAGTTCCTATCACGTTCAATGCCCTTTAAACATTTCTTTTTCTTATTGACAATTAGAACAGAATTGCAGTAGAGCGTGTTTCTCTGTTAAAAATCATCTATCTCTCTTCCAAAGGCTGCAGATAGCTGAAGGATCGTGACAGGAAGTGCAGACTCCTCTAACTGTGCAGCTGGGCCTGCGGGCTGGACAGCGGCATGGGGAGTTATTTGAGAGCCTGAATGTACAGAAATTGCCATGCTGCTCGTGACATAAGGAATGTGATGTGTGCATAGTATTACAAGATGGTGTGTTCACTTCAGAGGAGAGCCCCATGGCTCCTGGGTGACACTTGATTTTCCTTATTATTCTTGTGACTTGACTATGAAATGAGGTGAGAGAGTGCAGAAACCTTCTGTTTAGGGGAGTGGCAGATAGCGGTGCTGTGCGGTGCTCCTGTGCTCGGGATTGACTGGGAGGGTCCGAAGTGCCACAGTGAATGGTTAGTGTTCTGATGGAATCTGAGGGGAAGCGATGCTGTGCTCACCAGCACTGGTCTCATGCTGACTCTTCCTCACGGTCCTCCTGTCTGGGTCACGTACCAAATGAAACTTAATGTAATTTCTGCACGATAACTGCCATTTCTGTAAGAAATAGATACTTTTGTCAGTTTGTGATTCGGAAAGAGGGGAGAGTGGTGGATGTGGGGTAGGGATCAAACCTAGGAATGTGCTTGAGGACTTCTGTGCAAGTGTTACGGGCTGAATTGTGTCCCCTAGATTCGTGCGTTGAATCCTAACCCCCAGGACCTCAGAATGTGATCTGGTTTGGAGAAAAGGCATTTAAAGAAGTAATTAAGGTAAAGTGAGGTCATAGGGAAAGGTCCTTATCCCAGTAAGAAGAAATTAGGACACCTCCACACACAGAAGAGAATCTTGTCAACACGGGGAGAAGACAGCCACAGAGAGAGGCCTCGGAAGAAAAAAACCCCGCCGTCACCCTGGTCTTGGGCTCCTGGCCTCCAGAACCACGAGAGAATACATCTCAGTTGTTTAAGTGACTCTGTGGTGCTTTGTCGACACCCCTGCCAAACTAGTAGTGCAAAGGTACTCACCGCAGAATTTTTAAATAGCAGCTCCAGATGGAAACAACAGAAGTGCCCAACAGCGGGTGCGGAGTTATGTTCGTGTCCCGCTCTGCCTGTCCTGCCCCCCTGGCCGTCCCCTGCGGGCGGCAAAGGACAGTGAGGGCAGTCAGGGCTGTGGGCTGCCGTCACCTGGGGTAACCTGAGCCACCTCGCGAGACTCATCGGTCGTGGGCACCCCTGCTCTCGGGCCGTGGGCCCCTCTGTGCGGTGGATGGAGTTGATCATGGACGTGCCAGGGAGAAACAGAAGGCGGGTACTGTGCCTGGGGATTTTAAGGACTGAGGCTCAGTATACCCCTTTTCACCAAAGCAATTTCACTTTGTGTTCTGCACAGATTTCCTCCAGAGCTCCCTCTGAATTCGGGTCTAAGCCACTAGGTTCTCTTTACCGTCTGTACATGTCCAATTCCATGCCAACACCATATATGCTTGTTATGTCTGATTAAATATTCTGTTTTTGCCAACAAAACCTTACAATATAATTCTCAAAATTCATTGCCACAAGCAAAGATCTTTCAAGATTTCCCCTAGCAGTTTCCTTATGAGTGCACTTGGTTTATTCTGTTCCATTTCGTCTTAGCCCCCATGCTACACATAGTAACTACTCAGTGTGAAGTAAGTGAGCTTTTCATTAGGGTTATTTCAGAGTGTGTGGTGCTTTGTGGGTATGAAAGCATAAAACCCCTTTTACTGAAGCACCTAGCTTACCTTTGGGGGAGAACTTTCCAATTAGAGAAGGCTGACATTTGGAAATTGTTAGTTTCATATCTGTGTGGTATATGTGCATAGACAGGAATTTGACTTTTTCTCTGTATTTTGTTAAGTGGGCGCAAAGTGGACGGAAGTCGTTTCTGTCCCTTGTGAGAGGGGAGCTTGGTCAGCAGGACGGTCTGCTCTCTGTGGGCTCTTCAGCACACAGGAAGCGGGTGTGGCGCTGGGGGGAGAAGAAGTGTGTGAGCAATCTGGAAAAAGATTAAAGTCAGACTACGAGGTACCTGTCAGCCTCTGGACCAGGACTTTTCCATTCTTGGTACTTTAAAGAGACGAGCAACTTAGTGTTCTTAGAAAAGGAGAGACTGTTCGTAAAAGCTGGCACCGCTCCCCTGTACTTACTGCCGTGTTTCCAAGTGCTTTTGTTTTTTAACAATCTGATTTTTTCTTTTTTTTTTTTTTTTTTTTGGTTGGGTGGGATGTAACCCTTCGTTAGCCGGTAAGTGTACTTGAGGAGTCTTGTTTTATTTGATTGGAGAATGTTTTTAAAATCATATGCACTTTAATAACTGTGTTTGTAGGAATGTCTGGCATGTTTATTGGTCAAATGCCTTGCAGATGAAAGTGAAACTTTGTGAGGAATCTTCTGGATCAAATACGGATCTATTTTTACTTTAGTAAAACTATTCAGAGCATAAAGCCTTCAGTCTGGGTGTCAGTGCTGGCAGCTCACCTGGGAGGGCTGCCGGGAAAGTACCTGCTATGGGCTGCAGTGCTTTTCCCATCCCTGCTGCCTCTGGTGGTTGTGCTTGAACTGCAGGCATGGACCAGCTGAGCATCACCAGGTCTCCTAGGTTTCCAGAGCGCTGCACGATGGCTGCGTTCGCTGGCGTCCTGATTTCTTCTGAGTTCACTAACGTGCTTTCAGGTTTTCAAAGCCAGTGAAGATACTGTTGAGTTTTGTGTCTGACACCACCCCTTGAGAGAGTGTTAGACGAATTCCATTTTCCAGAGGAACACTGGAGAGGTAGAGCTGGGGTTGGTGGCAGTCATTTTAGTTTAAAATTATACCTGCACTTAAAACAAGCCATAGACGCTCTGCAGTCCAGCTGGGACTTCGACAGTGACGAGCAGCAGGGCCGGAGCGCGCCGGCGCCGAGTGCCGTCTCCCCGCTTCTCTGTGCTCTGGGCGTGCATCCCCTTTCTCAGTGCATCTGCTTGCCTGGCGACAGAGAGCAGGTGTCGGGTCATAGCAGTTCACAGTTTACAGTTTAATTTTGTTCAGAGATGCTGGGCCGTTGGAGAGAAGCGCTCCTCACCATGCAAGGGTGCTGCTGCCTCTGCTCCTCCCCTTGGCTAGGGTCTCACGGCGGAAGGTAGTCGCCCGTTCTGTGCGAGCCGGGGGAGGACTTCATGAAGGCCTTTGGAAACATGCCCTAACAGCCCCTGGCCGACAGCATCGCGTCGTGTTCCGGTTCCTGGTGAAGGCGAGCTGGTAGGTGGAAAGGTGATCTGCAGACATGTATTTTTTTGTATTTTAAATTTCTTTGTAAACCAGTTTGAGATACAACTTACATGTAACACAAGGCACCCAATTTTAAGTGTAGAGCTCACCGAATCTTGACATTGTGTACGTTCTTGTAGCCGCCACCGCGGTCACTCACAGGAGACGAGCCTGACTGCCGCTCTGGTTCTGCAGAGCCCGCTCCCCGCTGCTCACGCTCACGGCCACCGCCTTCCCTTTGATGTGCTCGGCCCTCACTCTTCACCTCTGCTGCTTGCTGCAGTCGGCTCTGGAACTGGCGTTTTGCTCTTTACTCCTTTTTCCCTTTGTACCTGCCATAATATCTCTAAGTTATGATTATTCTAATCACATTAGCCGCCCACCTTGCTTAAAATCCCTTGAGGAGCCTTCGCAGTTTCCCTTCTCAGTCTTCAGTTTCTAGGTAAGAGGTTGGTTCACGGTGGCCGCTGACCTGAGGACGGCGGTGTTGATCAGTTGTGAAATATACACGGGGAACCGGACTTGTGAAGGGCAGGTGATGAGTTAGTTCACTTAACAATGTGGAAGAAATAAAAGCTCACCTTGTATTTCAGGGTTTAAATTATCAGGAGCGTTCTACTTGATTCTCGCTTTATGCAAACAACTATGAGGGAAGGAGAGAAGCATCTTTCAAATACTCATTTCAAACGTTAGAAACTGGAGCCAGCCAGAGGAGCTTCCGATGACCAGAGCTGGAGCAACCTGAACAGGATAAGTAACGTGGCGCCGGATCATAACCCAAAGTACAAAGTAGAGTGTCCGTGAATCGACAAACAGGGAAAAGAGACAAACTTCTTGGGAAGAGAATTCCAGATAATTGATGTAGATCCTCTGCCCTCAACGAGCGGAAGCTGAACTTCCCACTCACTGAGTGTGGGCTGCACGTGGTGACTTCCTTCCAGAGAGCTCAGTGTGGGAAGGAGGGGAGGGGAGAGTAACTGCACATCAGAGAAACCTGAAAAACGGGCGACCAGGGTTGGCATGAACAGTGACAGGCATGTTAGTAATAATAAGCACTGTGACCCCAGTCTAATCATGAAGAAGCATCAGGCAGATTCCAGCAGAGGAGCAGCCTGCGAAATAAGGGCTCAGGGCTCCTCAAAGCTGTCCAGGCTGTCACACACAGAGAAAGTCTAAGAAAACGCCACAGCCAGGAGGAGCCTAAGGAGACACGACAGCTAAATGTGATCTGGTGTCGCGGATGGGATCCTGGAACAGAAAAAGGACATTCGGTAAAAACTAAGGAAATCTGGGTGAAATATGGACTTGAGTTAACAAGAAAGATTGATGCTAGTTCGTTAATTGTAAAACGTGTGCTGTGCTAACACAGGGTGTTAACACCTGGGAAACGGTGCGGAGTGTATGAGGACTCTGCACTGTTCTGTTTTTCTGTAAATCTCAACCTGTTCTAAAAAATAACGTGTCTGAAACTAAGGAAAGCACTGTTGAGGGTCCCCGGTAACCCGCTGGTTTCTGTCTCCCCTGCAGTTTCGAGAGTGTTTGCTGCCTTGCTGACTCTGCTTCCCTCTCTGACATCACCTTTGATGGCAACCCAATAGCTCAAGAGTCATGGTACAAACACACTGTCCTTCAGAATATGATGCAGCTGCGCCAGCTGGATATGAAGAGGGTCACGGTGGGTGAGGGTCCCCCAGAGCGCTCGCCACAGTGCTCCGCTTGGTGGGTGGGGAGCTGGGTTGTGCGCGCTTTGCTTGAAATGCTTCTCCCCTTTGAAGCACCGTGGATCGTCACGACTATGTACTTCTCAGGCATAACGGTGAGCCCTTTACCTCCTGTCCCCTATTCCCGCTTTCACTGAGTAGACCTAGCCTTCTGTTTAAATCAATCCTCATGCTTATTTTTCACTCTTGCTTGATATCCAACTATTTACTTTGGAGGAGGTGAGTAAGAATTTCACCGATGAGTTGTGCAGTGCGGCGGTTAAGGACGAGGGTGCTGGAGCCGGCCTGCGAACCTGAGTGCTGGCCTGGCTGCTTTCCGGCTGCGTGCCCTTTGGCGGTTTACTTAATCTTGCTGTCCTCTTTTCCTCAGAGTAAAATGGGGATCGTGGTCATGTCGTGTCACAGGGCTATTGTCAAGGTAGAACAGAGTGCTAAGCCGCAGGACAGGCCCGGCTCCCGGCAGCGGTGCGGCCTGTTTCGCTGAGCCTGATGCGCTCCCGCTCGGCGGGGCGTCTCGTCTCTGTTCATTCTGTCTCCATGAGAGACACTAGGCGTTTCCATGTGGCTCCTGATCTAAGTGACATGCCGCACATGGTACCCCTCCTCTTAACTGTACCATGTACATTCGCATACTGCAGGCTCCAGAAAGTTCTGTGATAAAGACACTTGCCGAAATTTGTTTCATTGCACCCCAGATTTATTTGAATACTTATCATCAAAGAAAATATCTGTTAATAATCTCAGTTTGATCATCTCTGACCTAGAAAAATGTCCTAAACCTCCATCTGTTTTCTCACTTCTAGACTCTGCTAATTTTGATGTGAATTCAGAGCGGTCAGCTAGGTTTGTTTGGCTGCC